AAAATCAACTTAAAATTCATTTTAATTTGTTACAAATTCAAAGTCATTAAGATCCAAATTGATATAAATCAAAGTCTTTCACACCAATCTTCTGAGGCCAAGTTAGCTTTATAAAATAACAGCTAACTCGTAGTATGACCTTATTACACATCTGGCACTACTCCAAGCTTTTCATACATATGGATACCAAGCTATGCTCAAAACAATCGCATGAGAAAGGTATTATAATTACCGCACCTTGCAGATAAAGAGACAACTTGCCCAAACCTGCAAAACTAGAAAACTGATGGAGTCAGGTATACTGCCAAGTTGTTATCCTTCACAACTATGCTACCTTGCCATCAATCATCTTGAGCAACTAACGTGAAAACATATCCAACTTCAACTTGTTAACTGAACGTACAAACTTAGCAAACAAAAAGGGGGTCCCAGAGTCAAAGGGCATTGGTGAAAATAAATGAAGTACTATTTTCTTCACACACCTCCTTACCACCTGCTTGATCATTCTACAAACATGCAGGATTTTAATTATTTTTGATGAGAAATCACACCACCTCTGAATCTTTATCTCGTTATCCTAGTCTTTGTTCTCTGATGTACTTTTCTACCGCTGACTACATATTTATTAATTACGCGTCTACAACAACGCAACCTCTCTTGGGTGCAGAAAGCTCATCTGTCTCGCTGCACTCTCGGCATCTAGATCAATGCCAGGAAGACGGATATGTACGATAAATATCTGTTCCTTTAGCAACCCAGTCTGTTGCCAGCTGAAGACACTCAGAAACAAAAGCAGCAGTGGCAGTATAAAAATAAAGCAGAAAAAAAAGCGCTTCAAATCGTCCTGAGGATGGGACTCCTAAAACACTAAGAGCAGGCCAAGTTTATCGCTTTCTCTTCCTGCCAACAGAGGACTCCGTCCAGCAAGCCCACAATTGCTCTACGGAAACAATGAAATTTAGGATTCCGGGATCCGGGGAGGTCGGAAAGGAGAAACTGAGCACCAGCCCCGACCTGCCGCTACCTTGAGAATCTCGCGGCCACCCACGGCCAGCGCCACATGCCTGCTCTGCAGCCCACACTGGATGTCCTGGGCTCGAGTGCCTGGCGGCACCTGAACTTCAATGAACACCTCCTCCAACGTCTGGTACCACTGGCCCCACGGGGTGCCGCACGGAACCACCCCACTGCGCTCTTCAAAATGACCCGACATAGTAGAGCCGCTTCCCGGGGGCAGCCGCAGCGAGCGAGCCGAGCGCGAGCGCCGAATCCCCACGCTCAGATTACGCTCCGACCCCTCCGCTAGGGTCACCGCACATGCGCAGAGCGCAAGCTGGTGTTTCGGCCATTTACCATGAAACCGGCGGGACCTGTCTGAAAAAAATGAAATCCAAAAAAGTTTACATCCAAAGAGCGATGGGGGAGGACTGGAACCAATGAAGCAAGAATTCACTACTCCTTCATCTGTAAAACTTTCCAACTTTTCAGTTGT